TATAGGCCATCATCGAAAGTGAGACCTACACTTCACGCCCACAGAAAAATGATTTCCCACCATCTCATCAATTTCTCTCATAGTGTGCCTACTGCAATGCTATGACGGAGACGACTGACCATCCTCATAACAGGTGGATGCATTGGCAAACTTCATGGGCCGCGAAGCAGTTAGCGCATCATTATGATTATTGCTTTGGCAATTAAAATACTGGTGTGATGATCTTTTATCACAAGACAAACAGACACACATACATTATGTGGTATCATACTCTGGATGCATTCCTACGCTGTGGGTTGCTACCATCTGACAAGTTACGGCAACCATCATTATTGAACCTCCGGCCCTCGACTAGCATATCTATTCACCAACAACATATGGTGCACAAAAATGGATGACGGGAACGAACTAGAGGGTAGACTGGAGCCCAACAGTGCCCACTTTTTTACCAATATTTATTACCGGACAATGCTGCTGCTGAAATATGGCCGCTGCTAGGTTCAAAACATTCCCCTATCGTCCCTCGCCGCAGCCTGTTTTACCTGCAACAGATACACTCAAAATCCCCGAGATTTAGGCGTGGCTGCGTAAACCAAAACGTAGCGGTGGCTCTCTTTTTGGTGAGAAAATTTCATTTAAAACAACTGTAGTCACGTTCCTGGACAATATAGAAGAAGATGACACTTGTCTCAAATTAAAATTTCCCACGAGTAACCCACCATATACCATGTACGAACGCCTCGGGGATGAGGAAGTCCGAGCTCCAATTCGATTAATTTACCTCCTCTTCAACTTGCTCTCTAGTAAAGTGTTCTCAGTAGTGCTGAGTGCCGAAAGACATTGCATCAATGGTGGCGGTGCACCTTCTTCTTCCTCAGGTTGGAACGACAGCCGTTTCGGCTGTACCTGCGCGGTAGGGCGAGGTGGCGGAGCTGTAAAATCATTCATCGAAATGTAACAATAAAAATATTAGTGTAATAAAAATGTCATAGGAGATGTCAAATTGAAAGTAATGTAGACATTATGCATTGTAATAATGACATTATTATTAAGCGAACCAGTTACCACGAAGGAACAGCGCATTTTGGGACTATTTTATAAAAAAATACCTATCAGTAAAGAAACTGATTCAAATGAAGTTTCCAGCAATTATTTAGATTTAGCAATCAATATTACTAACGGTAAAATTAAGTACCAAGTTGTATAATAAAAAGGATGATTTTAGCTTCAATGTAATCAGGTTTCCTTTTAGCGACATTAATATTTCCCTTATTAACAAGGGCTTCGGTTATACAAACAGAAACATTGAGTAGCAAACACCTGTTCATTCTTCAGTATAGTGGGCAAGATAACGGATATGGTCAGGACACTTTTGAGGAATGGTTACGAAGAAAATTTTATTAACACTAGCATAGTGAAATGTATTTACAGTAATAAATTTGTAAGTTACAAATAGTCAATTGTCTTTACCACTTCAATTTTTGTTTCAACCTTTTGTATTTTTGAGGCTGTTATTGTTTGATAACGGCTGTTTTTCGCCGCAGGCGCCGCAGTATTCGAGCCTGCATCTTCAGATTTCCATGCGGCTGCGTTCCCTATTGCGCTACCGGAGCCAAATTGAACTGAGGAGTGAGTGCCTAACAGAGGCGCCAAGAAAACGGATCTTCAAGGAGTATTAATTGCCCAGCTCATTTCGGGAGCAAGTTTTATTTTGAAACTGTTCAACGGAATGAGGAAGAGCTGTAAAATCTTGCATTCGTGACATCCCCGTTCCTGTCAACGAAGATTTGCCCTCGGTCCTGAAGTGTTGAATAGTACAATCCCGGTCGCGGTTTCCAAATGCTACATGGCGTTTACAATGACGTGTGGAGACCAGCCGATGGATAAGTGGTGTTTTTATCCCCAATCAGGACAAGTCCGATACTAATTCACTTTCCGCACAGGGTAGAAGGCTTGGTTGGCCTAAGCGAGAGCATAAACGGAGTTTGACCCCCCCCCCCTTGGGCCACGCGCTTGGTAAGCAGTCCACTTGCCGATATACATTCCCGGATTCCTATGAGCGGAACGCATACTCAGCTCTGCCGAAGAAGTGCAAAACAATCAAAGACACTACGAGGAGCCTCCTTAGATTCGTTTTCAGGGCTCTGGTCATGTGGTCGTTGGTTATAAAATCACCTGAAAAGGGGCCTTCTGGACTTCCATGTTTCTGATTAACCGACGTTCTGCGCCTCTGTTACACACTGTTTTCCTGAAATCGATTTCTGTCCGAAACATGCATAAAACTGTTTCGAACGCTCTTCCGCTGAGGGAGAAAGAACCTATGAGCGGAACGCATACTCAGCGAAAACCGCCGAACAACGTTCCAGTAAGGCAGAGTTCAGACTTCACGACGGTCAACGCTCGGTCGCGCGTTCGACGCGATCGATGCAGTCGAAAGCATGCGCATCGATCGCTTCCAACGCGCGACCGAAGCGCTACCGTCGCGAAGTCTGAACGCTGTCTAAGGAGGGGGAGGGTACAAGAACAGCGAGTATAAGCTTTCCGAGCCATCAAAGGATCAGGTGTAAACATAATCAAAGGAGCAGATATCAACGTGGAAATGGTCACTAGCTTTCTTCTTCATGCACATTTGTCCTGAAAGTCGTACAGGTCCACGGTACTGCCCCCTCATACATTAGGGGATAACATCTCTCAGCTGATAGCTGTATGTGTTCCTGAGTGAAATAGCTGTCAAACAAAGTAGGCTTTTGTTAAAAATAACTTTTTTTGAACAAAGGTATCGCGGATTTACTTCCGTACTCAACTAAACAAGCTGTAAACCACCTTCACTGTTGCCATTGACGAGCTCTTTTTTGTGTCGTTCACTAGCTTTCCTGGCCAAACGCTTCCAGTTGTTCCGAGCTGTTTGACTACGCAACATGGTGACTTCTTCAGCCGGGCTGAACACATAACGTTTTTCTTTGGCTTCAGGCTAAGTCTGTGAACAGGCTCTTCTCAAGTTTCTTTGCCATCTTACCTTTCCCGTTGCAACAAGTCTTCCCCTCCCACTGCCAATGTGGACGACCTCAGCAAAGGTGGTTGTGGTAGTGGTGGAGGAGGAGGACGGCGACGAGGTGGAGCAGGCGACTTCAATAGGAGTTCCGTATGCGAACTTTTTTCTGTGGGCTTAGTCGTTTTCTGGAATATAAATCGGTTTCTTCTGCACACTTTCAAATAATTCCATTTAAATATCATCATAGCCAAGCTGACAACGAAGTTGATTACCTTTTTATCGGGCTTTCTCCTGGACCGACCGAACTGTACACCAGTTTCCTCCCAGAGCTCGAGCAGCATCGTCGGTGGGTGCATTCGTAATAGTGAAGCAACCTGAATTCTCATCGTCACCTGGGCTGCGCATAAGCGACCAAACATACTTCCTCAGAGACACTTCTCACGATAAACGGATAGGCGGAGAAGTGGGCAGGAAATCACAACCATTGCACTTCTTCATTGATACACTCTTGAACTCACGATGAATAGGAGAGATGAGTCAGTCAAAAAGGCACACTAGTCGCAATTCAGTATCTACGTGAGGAATGGGGATGGGTGCATTCATCTGTTTCATGTCAGCTTGCCGGAACGTTTTCTTGACACCTGTAGGCTTTTCTTTTGTAGGGGCTTTTGAACTTTATGCGACAGGAAAAACTTTTCGGATCCGGCGCTATTCCTTCCATGTTTTTTTCGTATGCGGACAGCACAAATGAAGTAGGGAAGGTGTTTGGCGCATGAAGAACGTATTGTGAATCAGCAGTATGAGAACTTGATAGGCATGTAGGATCAGTACAGCATTGTGATGTGTGAAATGGTGGGTAGGACGACCCCTACCCTCCTGTGAAGAGAAAGTCGTCAGTACGACCTCCTTCACCTAAGTGAGCGTCTCGGGGCGACCCCCCCCCTCTTATGCAGCACCAACCTACTAATTACCCCACATTTTCC